CATTCATCAAGTCGTAAGATTCAGTAAGTCGTCATTCAGCGAAGTCAGAAATTTTAACCCGTCAGTAAATCATTCAGTAAGTCAGTAAAAACCCTTCAGTCAAATTTAGCATGTCATTGAGCTAATCAGTAATTATTCAGCCAAGTCAGTAAGTCTTCAGTCAAGTCATAATCATTTTAGTAAGTCGTAAATCATTCAGTCAAGTCAGTAATATTCATTCAAATCAGTAAATCATTTATTCAAGTAGAAGATTCAGTCAAATCAGTAAACATTCAGTCAAGTCAGTAATCATCCCGCCAAGTCGTAAATCTTCTCAAGTCAGTAATCATTCAGTCAAGTCAGTAAGTCTTCAGTCAAGTCAATAAAATCATTCATTCAAAAATCAGTAAGTTTCAGTCAGTCGTAAGTCATTTAGTAAGTCAGAAGCTTCAGCTAAGTCGGTAAATCATTTAGTCAAGTCAGTAATTATTCAGTTAAGTCAGTAAAAATTCATTAAGTCAGTAAGATATTCAGTAATTCATTCAGTCAAGTCGTAACTCATTCAGTAAGTCAGTAAATCAGTCAAATCAGTAAATCATTCATTCAAGCAAAGTTTATTCATTCAAGTCAGTAAGTCCCTTTTATTTAAGTCAGTAAGTCATTTATTTAAGTCTAAATCTTTTGTTTAAGTCGCAAGTCATTCGTCAAGTCGCAAATCATTCGTGAAGTATAAATCATTCATCAAGTCGTAAGTCATTCAGTAAAGTCAGTAAAATCATTCAGTCAAGTCAGTTAGTCATTTACCAAGCAGTAGTTCTTCAGTCAGTCAGAAGTCATTCAGTCAAGCAGTAAACCATTTTAGTCAATTCGCATTTTATTGGCTAAGTCGTATTCATTCTGCCAAATCAGTAAAGTCATTTAGTTAAGTCAGTAACTATTCAGTCAAGTCAGTAAATCATTCATTCAAATATTTTAAATCTTCATTTAAGTCGTAAGTCATTCATCAAGTCAGCAAAATCGTTCAGTCAAGTCAATAATCACTCATCAAATCAGTAAGTCATTTAATCAAGTCAGAAGTCATTCGTCAAGTCAATAAGTCATTCAGAGAATCAAAAAGTCATTAGCCTAGTCGTAAATCATTCAGTCAAGTCAGTGTCATTAGTCAAGTCAGTAAATCATTAACCAAGTCGGTTTTAAAACATTTTGTCAAGTCAGAAGTTATTCAGTTAAATCGTAAATCATCATTCAAATCGTAAATATTCATTTAGTCAGTAAGCTTCGTCAATCAATAAGTCATTCAGTTAGTCGGTTTACACACCCTTTTTTTTGTATTTGGGGATTTCTTGTCTAAAATCTTTGTTTACTTTGTTACTTTAAAACTTAAATGCTTATAGGGTTTTTTTGGCACTTTCAGCAACCGGGAGGGGGGGGGGTTTTGGGGGGGGGGGGGGGGGGGGGGGGGGGGGGGGGGGGGGGGGGGGGGGGGGGGGTGGGGGGGGTTTGGGGGGCCCTTGGGGCCCCTTTTTTTTTTTTGAAATAACAAATTTTTTTGTTCAAAAATTTCCCCCCAGGTTCTTTACCCAAAATCTGCCCCAAATAAATGGGGTTTGGGTTGTGGTGAGCGTAGTTCTTTGGAAAAACGTTGAAAGCCAATCCCTTTGACTGGCTGTAAAAAGTACCTAAAGTGTCCCGACCATTCCAAGGTACCCAAAAAATTTCCACGTGGAGGCGGCCTTTAAATTCCTTTTTTTTTTTTTTTTTTTTTTTTTTTTTTTTTTTTTTTTTTCAATAACATTATGTATTAACAAAAATAAAAAAGAAAGGGTCCCAAATTTCAAAATTAAAAAAAATAAACAAAAAAAGGGAGGGTCTCCCTTCAGTTTTTTTTTTTTTTTTTTTTTTTTTGGGTTTTTTTTTTTTTTTTTACCTTCATATGGGGGGGTTTTAACAAAAAATAAAAATTTTTTAAAAACCAATCCCCCCCCCAAATTTTTTGGCCTTTATGGTTCAAAAATAACAAAAAAGTCGGAGCTTTTTAACCAAAACCCCTTTGGCCGGGGGGGAAAGGGAATAATTATTTTTTTTTTTTTTTGGAAATTTTGGGGGTTTTTCTCTTTATTGGTTTTTGGTTCCCGGGCCATGCTTTTTTGTGGTTTTAAAATCTTATATCCCTTTTATGGGAGCCAAAAAAATTTTTTTTCCCACCATCCCTTTTGGGTTTTTTCAGCCCCCCCAAAAAAACAAAAATTAAAACCATCCCGGGGGACCAAATTGGGAGCTCCCCCTGCACCTTACCCAAGTTGGCCTGGCGGTTTTTCCCGGGGATTAAAGAGGTTTTTTGGGGCATTGTCGTTTTTCCCAATTCCCGGGGTTTTGGGGTTTAAATCCATAACCAGGGGTTTTTTGGGGGATTTTAAAATCAAAATCCGTTTGAAGCCCAGGCTTTTGAAAAAATCCATTTTTCCTTTTATCTTGGGGGACCCGGGTGGGAGACCCTTTTTCCAAACCCAAAAAAACAAAAGTCCCTTTTTCTCAAAGGCAAAAAAGTCGGGGAAAATCTTTAAATTTAAAATTTTTAAAAAACCCCCGGGATTTTCCCCCGGCAGCCCAACTTTTTTTGTATTAGGTCGAAATTTTTTGAGGAAAACCCCCGGGTTTTCTAAAGTTCAGAATTTTTTAAATATTAGAATTTTTTAAAATTTTTTCTTTTTTTTCCCCGATTCCCCGGGGTTTTCCCGATTCCCCCGGGAATTTTTGGCAAGGAAAATTTAAACCCGTCCAAAATTTTTTTAGTGTTGATTTTTGAAAAAACTGAGAAAAACACCCCGGGTTTTCCAAAATCCAAATATTTTATATAATCAAGGGAAGTTGGATTATTAAATTTTCCTCAAAATTTTTTTGTCAGGGAATTCTTGGGGTTTAAATTCCTGGCCCCCAAGGAATTTCTCTTTTTCAAACAATTTTTTTTAACCTTTTTTGTTTTGATATAAAATTTACGAGCAATTTTCTCATATTTTCCATAATTTAGCGGTTAAAAAAGGGGGGGGGGAAAAAACTGGGTTAGGGGCCCACTTGGGGGGGTCTTTTCAGTGTGACCCCGAGAATTGCTAAAGAAAAAAACCAGGGTTTTTTTAATAAAAACCATTATATTTTTATAGTAAGTTTAGGTTTTTTTGTTTAAAATAAAAAAGGGAAAAAAAAACAGGGAATTTCATTTTTGCATTAAAAAAATTAAAAAATTTAAAAAAACGGGGGAAAATTTGTTTTTCAAAATTTAGGGGTTAAAACCCCAAAAGTAAACCTCAAATGGGGGGTTAATATTCTTTCCTGTGCAATTTTTATTTTTCCCTTTTCAATAATTTTCTCTTTTTTATTTTTTTTTGAAATAAAAAAACTAGAAAACAATTTTAAAGGGGGGAAATGTATAATAACGGGCTTTTATTTTGGAGAAACCTTTTTTAGGCCCATTTTTAAATTTGGTCTTTTTTAGTTTTAAAAAATTTGGGCCCAAATTTCAATTAAAAAACCCTTTTTAAATTTAAAAGGGGGTTTTTGTATAGTAAAAAAATTATGTTTTGTTTGGTTTTCAATGGCTGGAAAGGTAAAAAAGGGAAAAATCCAAACCCCAAACATATTTTCAGAAATTTGGGGGAAAAAATTTTTCAAAATTAATTTTTGAAAATGGGGAAAAAGACTTTATTTTAAAGAAAAAAATTTTTTTTTTTCAAAAATTTAGGAATAAATAATTTCAAAGGGGCCAAACATCAAAGGGAAACCAAAATTCTTTCCTTTTGGCCCCTGGGAAATTTTTTACTTTTTTTTTTGGGGGGGGGGTTTTTTTTTTGGGGAATTTTTATTTTTTTGTAAGGGAAAACAATTTAAATTATATGAGGGGTAGAATTTTGATAATGAAAAAAAGATAAGTTTTTTAGTTTTGATGTTTTCCTGTTTTTTTGCCCTTTTTTTGCTCCCCCTTTTAGTTCGTTTCCAAATGGATTCCGGGCCCACCATTGGTTTAATAATGGTAAAGGGATTTTTCTTTCACGCAAAAAATAAAAATGTCAAAAAAAAATTTTCCGAAAATTTTAAATGGCAAAGGTGCTTTTTAAATAAATTTAAGGTGGGAAATCCCCCTACCCTTTTGTTTTAAATTTTTTTTAATTCAAAAAATTCAAAGTTTTTTCCCAAAAATTTCGAACTTTTTTTGGTGGTTTTTTTTAAAAAAATTCGGGGGGGAAAAACCTCATTATTTAAAGGAAAAATAATTTTTTTTTTTCAAAAATTTGGAAGGCGGACTAAATACAGTTTGGAGGGTTTTAAGTAAGGTTTGGCCAAAAATTTTCGAATATCCCCGGCTTTTTGGGAATTGGTTAAAGGAAAATTGATTTTTTTTTTTTTGGGGGGGGGGTTTACAAAGGGGAATTTTCTTGTGAAAAGCCAAAAAATTTTTTGAAATTGGGGGGTTAAAAATTAAAAAATTTTCTACCCAGGGGTTTTAAATTAGTGGTTAAAACTTTTTAAAAAATAAAATTAAAACAAAAAAAATTTAAAAAAAGGTATTATTTTTTATTTTGATTCGTAAATGGATTTCTGTTGGGAAATGTAATTAAAAAATAACAGTTTGATTGGGTATCAGGTTAAACATTTATGAGATACAATTATGAGAAACACTTATGAGTTACGACGAATTCGTTTACCGATGTGGTCTTAGGAGCGGAACTCCATCATTAAGTGAGGAGAAGCTGTATATAATATATAGTAAATATACTATACACATTTATACAGTAATATATATATATTTAGTGTATGACCTTTATGGGTTTAGTGCTTAGTATTGATTATTATAATAAAAATATTATAGTATACTATACAATAATATATATATATTACATATACAGGAATATAATATATACAATAATATATATATATACAATATTAATTATTTTGCATTGATATTGATATACATATTTGTATTGATGTTTTTACTTGTTATATTATTGATGATTTTACATACTTGTCAGGTCGACATCCGTGAAGATGAGGACCAGGGAGTTAAGCTTTCAGAAATTATTGAACTTCTCGTTGCTGCTGGTTACTTCAGAGCGAGGATCAAGGGTCTCTCACCGTTTGACAAGGTTAATTGGCACGTGTTTTATATGCAAAAGACAGTTAATGACTCGGTATATAGCCTTAAGGTATTTTTGTTTTTAAAAATTGGTCTAATAAGCTGAAGTTGTATGCATTTTATGAGGACCCTTGCAAATGATTTGCTGACACCTTGCTAACACCTCAGAGACAAACAGATGAGCCTTACGCAAATAACCCGCACATAGAAGAGAGGAGCTTACGGCGACGTTTCGGTCCGACTTGTACCGGTATTGTCTTTTTTTTTTTGTTATTGTTAGATGAGCCTTTTACTTGACATTTTTCACTTAAGAAAAAGGGGATGGTTCTTTGATGCTTGTGAAGGGCTCTTAATCCTGGTACTTGTACCTACTCTTCCCTTCCTTGAATCAAACCTTGTTACTTCGTATTCCCTCAGCATTGATGGCCCCAAAGTGTTTACCATTCCCTCATTACCATTTGACATGTTCATCAATGCGAGGCTTTTCGAAACACTTGAGTTATTAGTGAAGATTAACACAAACATAAAATAACATAAGCCTTTGTTATGGTACTTTTGTTTAAAAAAAGAAATGTCTTTAAATAAAGGTTATGTCTTTGTGTCTTTTCTTAGGTACCCCATTGCTTTACAACTCCTAATTAATTGCACTTAATTGTTGGGAAGGTGACAAATGCTATAAATTCACGGAAAATTAGAATAATGATGAGTGTGTGGGGGTGGGTACGACAGTAAATGGTGTGTGCACCCACGCCCGGGACTGAAAACAAAAAAGTCCTTTATGGGGGTGTTTTGGCCATACGGGAAAAAATTTTGAGTTAACGGACATCATCAAGTTTCGAAGACATCTGGACCTATCACTGTGGGCAAAATGCAGAATTCGAGACTTATCCATTTTGTCCAATAATTGGAGCAATGTCTGCCCAAATTTTTTTTCCAAAAATTGAAAAAAATCCACTAAGGAAGTTGATGGATGCCTGTACCGTATTTTTTTCCTTTGCTGGCTTTTGTCATTATCCATCTATGCATTGGTTATTCTCATTATACATTATGTAACTTTTTATCCCTCAGATTGTTGGTGGAATGACTTGGTGTATAGAGACTTGCAACTTTGACGTCGACATAGATCTGCTTTTCCACGAGAATCTCACCATTGGTCAGAAAATGTGAGTGTGGGGAATAATTTCATGCATATTTATTATTGTTCAGGACTTGAAAAGTAATGGTATTAAAGCATTATGCATTATCTTCTATAGATAATACTGTATTTTATTTTTTGTTTTACAGCACAATATAAGCAATGTACCATGCATTGCTTTGCTTCATAATATACATAAATTTTTTTTTGACATAATTTGCCTATTATAAATGTAGATTAGTGTAATTATAATGGGTGTTATCTTTGTTTTAGTTACGAATTCAGGAATTAGTCCAAAAGGGCAGTACCTGGGTATCTATAATTTGGAGATGGTTTGCCCAAACCCTTAGCTTTACCCAAAACGTACGGGATATAAAAGGAACTTGTAGAAGAAAGGGGGGCCAATTTTTTAGATATAAGGGGTATTTTTACCCTACAAAAATTTTTTGGAAAATTACCTGCACCTTATATGCTATGTTAAGGGGGGGTTTGGGGTTCGCTTTAGCAGTTTTTTGCTGCGTAATGTGACAAATGCTTTTTAAACATTGTCTTAATGTTGGTTTCCTTATATGCCCCGAAAATACTGTTATCAGTCCCTCAGTCTTGTAGAATTATATACGAAGAGAGTAGGGGATGGGGGGAATCATCCCCTTTGGGCCCCGGGGAGGTGTTGAGCACGAAGTGCAGGCAGGAAGGTGTGCACATATATAATGGAGTCAGATGAGATGCAGCAGATGAAGGCTTTGTTATAAAATAGTTTCTCATGACATGGGCATACTTGTCAGATTTTTGAGTAACCGGCATGTTGATTTAAAGGATACCAACGTTTAATGTGTATATGTATTGAATAAAATACGCTATGTACAGGTATTAAACCCTCCTCCTATATAAATTATTAAATATAAAATGAAAAGAAATTGTTGTTTCTTCTGTTTAGGGCAGCCCTGCTTCAGTGGGAGACTGCCGGTGTGCTAAAATATACCTGCAGAGAGCATGCATAGTTCCTTTGTATAAAGGCAAAGGGGATAAAAGAGAGTGCAGAAATTATAGGGGGATAAGTCTGCTGAGTATACCTGGTAAAGTGTATGGTAGAGTTATTATTGAAAGAATTAAGAGTAAGATGGAGAATAGGATAGCAGATGAACAAGGAGGCTTTAGGAAAGGTAGGGGGTGTGTGGACCAGGTGTTTACAGTGAAACATATAAGTGAACAGTATTTAGATAAGGCTAAAGAGGTCTTTGTGGCATTTATGGATTTGGAAAAGGCATATGACAGGGTGGATAGGGGGCAATGTGGCAGATGTTGCAGGTGTATGGTGTAGGAGGTAGGTTACTGAAAGCAGTGAAGAGTTTTTACGAGGATGGTGAGCCTCAAGTTAGAGTATGTAGGAAAGAGGGAAATTATTTCCCAGTAAAAGTAGGCCTTAGACAAGGATGTGTGATGTCACCGTGGTTGTTTAATATATTTATAGATGGGGTTGTAAGAGAAGTAAATGCGAGGGTCTTGGCAAGAGGCGTGGAGTTAAAAGATAAAGAATCACACACAAAGTGGGAGTTGTCACAGCTGCTCTTTGCTGATGACACTGTGCTCTTGGGAGATTCTGAAGAGAAGTTGCAGAGATTGGTGGATGAATTTGGTAGGGTGTGCAAAAGAAGAAAATTAAAGGTGAATACAGGAAAGAGTAAGGTTATGAGGATAACAAAAAGATTAGGTAATGAAAGATTGAATATCAGATTGGAGGGAGAGAGTATGGAGGAGGTGAATGTATTCAGATATTTGGGAGTGGACGTGTCAGCAGATGGGTCTATGAAAGATGAGATGAATCATAGAATTGATGAGGGGAAAAGAGTGAGTGGTGCACTTAGGAGTCTGTGGAGACAAAGAACTTTGTCCTTGGAGGCAAAGAGGGGAATGTATGAGAGTATAGTTTTACCAACGCTCTTATATGGGTGTGAAGCATGGGTGATGAATGTTGCAGCGAGGAGAAGGCTGGAGGCAGTGGAGATGTCATGTCTGAGGGAATGTGTGGTGTGAATATAATGCAGAGAATTCGTAGTTTGGAAGTTAGGAGGAGGTGCGGGATTGCCAAAACTGTTGTCCAGAGGGCTGAGGAAGGGTTATTGAGGTGGTTCGGACATGTAGAGAGAATGGAGCGAAACAGAGTGACTTCAAGAGTGTATCAGTCTGTAGTGGAAGGAAGGTGGGGTAGGGGTTGGCCTAGGAAAGGTTGGAGGGAGGGGGTAAAGGAGGTTTTGTGTGCGAGGGGCTTGGACTTCCAGCAGGTATGCGTGAGCGTGTTTGATAGGAGTGAATGGAGACAAATGGTTTTTAATACTTGACGTGCTGTTGGAGTGTGAGCAAAGTAACATTTATGAAGGGGTTCAGGGAAACCGGCAGGCCGGACTTGAGTCCTGGAGATGGGAAGTACAGTGCCTGCACTCTGAAGGAGGGGTGTTAATGTTGCAGTTTAAAAACTGTAGTGTAAAGCACCCTTCTGGCAAGACAGTGATGGAGTGAATGATGGTGAAAGTTTTTCTTTTTCGGGCCACCCTGCCTTGGTGGGAATCGGCCGGTGTGATAATAAAAAAAAAAAAAAATAAAGTATTTTTAGATATTTTCTATATACAGTACATGGCTAATCCTCTTTACAGAGCTCTAACGGAAAGAATTGTACGAGTTCTGCGATCCATGAAGTGCCCACACAGACTAGAGCCTCATCAAATCCAGGGCCTGGATGCTATACGCATCTTTCCAGTAATTCAGGTATGCAAAATGACAGTACACAGGACTCGAGTCCTGGAGGTGGGAAGCACAGTGCCTGCACTCTGAAGGAGGGGCAGGGGTGGGAAGTACAGTGCCTGCACTCTGAAGGAGGGGCAGGGGTGGGAAATACAGTGCCTGCACTCTGAAGGAGGGGCGGGGGTGGGAAGTACAGTGCCTGCACTCTGAAGGAGGGGTGTTGATATGTTGTCGTTGTTGAACCACAGTACTGGCACAGCTCTGGCAAGACCGCGATGGAGCGAGTGATGATATAGATAATCGATTTAAATTTACATTAGTTTGTCGCCAAATTCAACAGCATTTGTACCTGAACATGAATAAAATCTTTGGAATATAAAACAGTACTGAAGTGGGGGTAATATGGCTGCAGATGGAATAAAAACAGTACTGAAGTGGGGGTAACATGGCTGTCAGACTTAGAATTACAGAGCATCTCAAATGTTCATACAGAATTAAGTCTCATAGAAGTGACTGTTGTAGATCCAATACAATAAAGTACAATGCAATACAACTTTATTTCTTTTCTGCAGTATGCAAAATGTAGTTTATATGTAATAAAATATTGTTAAACACAAAAGGAAGCCACTAGCATGTGGTGCATTTTGGGCAGACTAATCCTAATGTTTACAGACTGATTAGGTTACATAGGGTATTGAGTAGGATTTTTTTTAATATACAGAGATAGTGCTTTATATTTCTGGAAATGGTTGAGACTACTGTAGTTGATACACACTTTTTTTTCAGTGGCTTGTGAAGAAGGCTCTCGAAACAAGAGAAGAATTTGGTGACGAGACCAGGAATTTTTCAGTTTTCCAGTTCCACCATTACTATGTTACCCCTCAAGAAGAAAAATTAAAGGAGTCGTTGGTCAAAGCTACCCAGACATTATCTGCAGTTCAGGTTTGCATTTGGGGATCCAGTTGCACATGGTTACACATGCAATTGAAAATGTTTTCATATACAGTGCTGCAAAACAACCCATGAAAAAAATAGTACGCTATCAATCACTTTCATGATTTCTCACATTATCAAGGACCTGACAGATATTTGATAAAGTGGCAAATTACAAAAGCACTTGGAAGTTTACCATTTTTCACAGTAGTTGTTATGTATATTGTGATATCACCTTTTTACTGTGATCTTAATGCATATAGTAATGAACATTGTTCAGTGCTCTGTTGAGCACTGAAAAGTGCTCATTAGAGCATGTCAGCAAAAGAGGATCCCAGAAGGGGATCAAAATATACAACTCAATTAATCTTGTGAGTTTGTCTCCATGTGGATTATTACTGAGCATTGAAGTGTTCATTATACAGTACTGTATAACAGTGCAACAGTTTGGCATATTTTTAAGACTAATAACTTAAGTAATGTAAGAAAACTGCAACTTGTTAATGAATGTTGGTATCACGTGTAAAATTTATAGCTATTTTATGGAACTTAATACTCTAGTTGGCATATGGTCCAAAGCGAAGATGGCGCAGGAAAGCCTCGGCCCCACTGGAATCCTCCAGTGTGCGAGTACACACTACACTTCTGGAGTATGGCCAGCTGAATTACGCTGGATTTGGGAATAAGGTAAGTGAATGAATCCTGTTTGTAGTCAGTATGCTATATGATTATTATTTCTCATTCCACAGCAGGATTTGAACCTGCAAACTCATCAGTACTGTACACAGGTTCAAGTCCTGCTGTGGACTGAGATAATGTTTGTAAATAATTTTGCCCATTCATGAATTGTTAAGTATACTGCATAATTTATTTGTAAAAAGGCTTGGTAGAGGAGGTTGACTGGTTAATATACTCACTGTATACCTGTCATGGGGTGTGCCTTGCTGAGGGCCACTTTATCCATAGAATTGAAGCTACTCTTCTCTTCCTTGAATCAAATGTGATTACCTCCCATTCCCTAAGTGCTGTACATCCCCCTTTCACATATAGTGCTTCATATCAGTACTGCATATAAATTGGGGAACAGGTAGGGTGTGAACCCATGGCAAGGGAGACCTAAAACTCGCAGGCCAGTGTGTTAACCACTTACCCAATACTGGGTATAATAGTGCTTGAAAATAGTTGGTGTTTAGCATCTCATATTAATAAGTTGTCTCTCACACAGCGAGATGGCCAAGACGAAACTGATGTTGGCAAGAACGAGGTGATGTATAACTTGCTTGTATCTGTTCCCAGTATGGTATTGATTTTTATTATGTAAATAGTTTAGTAAACCAGTAAGTTGAGTGAGAGACTTCTGCAACATTTGGGAATCTTTATTACGGAAACATTTCACCAGCCAGTGGCTTCTTCAGTCCAATACAGAGAAGAACGGTGGAGGATAAGGAGGAGGTTGAGGTACTCGGTCCAGGCTAAGGGACTGATTACCTCAAATTTCTTATCTTCCAGTACTTTGTAATGGACTGAAGAAGCCACTGACTGGTGAACATCTCTCATTCTTCAGTTATTTTTAGCTTGCCTTGATATAATCTAGTTTTTTTAATTCATTGTTTTGTACTGATTAAACTCGAGGTATGTGTTTGTTTAATACGGTATTACGTTTACTAACACGTTCATTACCAGTAATGTGGATAAATTTTTAGATGACTATAAAATAAATTACAGCCTCTCCTCACTTAGTGATGTACTCGTTTACTGACACCTCGGTCTTACGACAGGCACTCTGACCAGTATTTATGCCTAAGTAATGTACAGTAGACCCCCGCATAACGATCACCTCTGAATGCGACCAATTATGTAAGTGTATTTATGTAAGTGCGTTTGTACGTGTATGTTTGGGGGTCTGAAATGGACTAATATACTTCACAATATTTCTTATGGGAACAAATTCTGTCAGTACTGGCACCTGAACATACTTCTGGAGTGAAAAAATATCGTTAACCGGGGGTCCACTGTATATTAAAGCTCATTTTCTCTATTCTATTTTTCAATATACAGTACACTACTGTATAAACATTTAAATATATTCCAGAAATGTTATAAATGGTGCATAGGTGACATTAAAATAATATCAAAGATGGTTGACACAAACCCATTACCATTATAGTATGCTCCTCACTTAGCAACGAATTCATTTAATGACGTGGTCTTAGGAACGGAACTCTGTTAAGTGAGGAGAGGCTGTATATTGTGACTATTAATTACTGTTTGTGTGTATGACTCCCAGTCTTTTTCTGTTAACTGTATGACACTATCATGTCTTTTTCTGTCCCCTGGCACCTCTAATCTGCACCTTCAACACACTGGTCACATGCAAATACAGTGGTACCTCAGGTTTTGTACAGCTATCAACTCAAACAGTTATGTAAGTGTATTATTGTAAGTGTATTTTTTGGGGTCTAAAACGGACTAATCAAATTTTACATTATTCCTTATGGGAACAAATTCGTTCGGTAATGGCACTCGAACAGCCTTCTGGAACAAATTATGGCCGAAACTCTGGGTACCACTGTATAAACCATGTATGGAATATAGAGGTGCTCCTTGACTTACAGTAGTTCAACTTGCAATATTTCGACTTTACGATGGTGCAACAGCAGTTCTTTGAGATGGAACTTTTTATTTTTCAGTACTGGTATTAAGTTACAGAAATTGTTTGTTTATTTACTTACTCAGTGACAGTAGTTATTTATTTACTTTATTAATCATATCATAATCAGCTTATGATATTTTTGACTTACGATGGGTTTGTTGGAACGTAACCCCCATCATAAGTCAAGGAGCACCTGCAATGTGTGACTGTGGTGTCTGGAGAATCCACAATTTGTACCCACATAGATTCTCTTCCACATTCAAATTCATATTATTTCCATATATGATGTACAAAGATAATATAGCTTGTGATAAATGATTTTGAAAACTGAAAAGTTGAAGATTGAGACGTGTGTCAGACACTGCAACATCATGGGAACTTGATACAAGGAATTCTTCAATACTTGTCCAACCTTTGGCTAAAGACCTACTTACACTAATGGATGGTTCCACTGATCCCACCTCCTCCTGCTTCCACTCGCCTGACTACAGTATATAAGATACTTGTCTGGCCATATACTGTGCTTTCTACACGAGTGATGGACTGAACACATCGATTCCAGGCTGAGGGACTGATTACCTGAAATTCCTCTCCTTACCCCTCTCTGCTTTGTATTGGACTGATGAAGCCACTGTGTGGCAAAACGTGTCCTTAATAAAGATTCCCATACGTTGCATAAGTGTCTCAGTCTTCGTAATGTAGCTTATACGTAAAACATTGTTAGGCAGAAAGGAGAGCCACTACTATGCAAATGCATTTCAGGCAAGGCCAGTGCATTTTAGCCAGTTGTTTTACCTTTTTTAATTTTTATTTTTAATATTTCCTGTTTTTCCTTCTACTTTCCAGTGTATACATGCTTTCAGAATATTTGAAATGTCTGGGAATGATTTTATGTAAACCATACCCCGGCCGGGATTGAACCCGCGGTCAGAGAGTCTCACAACTCCAGCCCGTCGCGTTAGCCACTAGACCAGCTAGCCACAATAAGATTTGTCCAACTAGGTATATTTCTACACCATAGGAAGGTTAGCACAGGCACCACTGTGACCACAAATGCAAGTTTTTACAGACGAATCTCCAGCTAGCGTGGCTGTGACGAACTCTAGCTCAAGTCCCTTCACTGCCGTCAACATGACTCATGAAATCGTAATGATGCGGGTTCAATCCCGGCCGGGGTATGGTTTGTTTGCAATCGTGTCATTACGATTTCGTGAGTCATGTTGATGGCAGTGAAGGGACTTGAGCTAGAGTTCGTCACGGCCACGCTAGCTGGAGATTCATCTGTAAAAACTTGCATTTGTGGTCACAGTGGTGCCTGTGCTAACCTTCCTATGGTGTAGAAATATACCTAGTTGGACGAATCTTATTGTGGCTAGCTGGTCTAGTGGCTAACGCGACGGGCTGAAGTTTTGAGACTCTCTGACCGCGGGTTCAATCCCGGCCGGGGTATAGTTTGTTTGCAATCGTGTCATTACGATTTTGTGAGTCATTTTATGTAAGGTTTTTGCTCAGAATAAAAGGAGTTCACAGAAGAGCAGTGCCACTTATATTACCTAGGGTGATTGGTGCTCATAGATGAGGGTTGGCTGGGTATGTACAGTACCACTTAAATAACAAGATCTTCCTTTGGGCTTTGTGATTCTTCAATTTCTTTGTGCACGTAACTCTTGAATTTTGTGACTGGCATGTAAAGTTTATCTTAACACTTTAGTAACTTTGTGAGGTTTTTTAGTAACTTTGTGAGTTTTATAAATAACTTTGAGTGTTTTTCATCTCATTTGTAGCGTTTCTAGTGAACTTGAAATGTATCTCGTTAAAATAATTTTCCCTAATAATAGGCTATCTTTAGATACTGTGTTTATCCACCAAAATTAACTTTCAAAACAGTATCTAATATAGTTGTTGACGAGTGTTTTCACTAACTATATAACAGCAGATGGCGGAGGTGGAGCAGTTGATGCAGTGTATGGATGTTGCAGAAGTTGTCGAGGTAAGCATTTCCTAACTAGCTTTTTTTTTTTTTCTAATGTTATTCTAGCAGGAAAATTTTTGGAGAAATAAAATGAATTGTCAGAAAAAAAAGGGGAAAGTCTTATTGCTTTGCTGACACTTGAGGCACAAGATGGTAGAAGTATATGAACTTAAATAAGAAGTAAAGGTTCATAAAGGTGTTTGAAGGCCTCGCAAATAATTACACTCTTGTTTTAAAAAATAAAAAATTGTGAAAAATGAGAATGCTAAGACTAAAAAAAATTTTTAAAGGGGTGGATCGGTAAGCCAGTGGAAGGCCTCGGTCAGATGACCAAAAGCTCCAATGGCAGGTCATCATCTGACTAAGACCCGCATCAGGAAACACTTGTCCTGTTTCCTGATGAACCTTACCTAACCTAAGCGTAGTATTTTGTAAGGTTCTGTAACACGAGGTGAATGTTCAAAGATATCTTGATACATATTTAAAAATGCTATATAATGTAAAACCTTTCTTGCTAGATAAATAAATGGAAGGTTTTGTGGCTCTTTACAATTGTTATGATCTTTGTTTAAATGTATGTTTGCAGGGGAAGCTCAGTGCTCAGCATATTGGCAACATAGTCAGCTCCAGGGTGCAGGAGATTGCTGACACCTCTAAGCACTACTCCGAACTCCAGCAACAAATTGCTGTATGTTGGTTTATCATCTCTTGTTTATCAGCATGTGTATTTATCAGTAGATCAGTATATATCCACACTCATTTATTTATCTTCCAGTGTGCACACACACACACACACACACACACACACACACACACACACACACACACACACACACACACACACAGACTGGACACCTGGTCCAGCAAATGGCTTCTCGAATTTAATCCTGCCAAATGCAAAGTCATGAAGATAGGGGAAGGGCACAGAAGACCACAGACAGAGTATAGGCTAGGTGGCCAAAGACTGCAAACCTCACTCAAGGAGAAAGATCTTGGGGTGAGTATAACACCGAGCATGTCTCCGGAAGCACACATCAATCAGATAACTGCTGCAGCATATGGGCGCCCGGCAAACCTGAGAACAGCATTCCAATACCTTAGTAAGGAATCATTCAAGACACTGTACACCGTGTATGTCAGGCCCACACTGGAGTATGCAGCACCTGTTTGGAACCCGCACTTGATAAAGCACGTCAAGAAACTAGAGAAAGTACAAAGGTTTGCAACAAGGTTAGTTCCAGAGCTAAGGGGAATGTCCTATGAAGAAAGATTAAGGGAAATCGGCCTGACGACACTGGAGGACAGGAGGGTCAGGGGAGACATGATAATGACATATAAAATACTGCGTGGAATAGACAAGGTGGACAAGGACAGGATGTTCCAGGGAGGGGACACAGAAACAAGAGGCCACAATTGGAAGTTGAAGACACAAATGAGTCAGAGAGATAGTAGGAAGTATTTCTTCAGTCATAGAGTTGTAAGGCAGTGGAATAGCCTAGAAAATGACGTAGTGGAGGCAGGAACCATACACAGTTTTAAGACGAGGTTTGATAAAGCTCATGGAGCGGGGAGAGAGAGGGCCTAGTAGCAACCGGTGAAGAGGCGGGGCCAGGAGCTAGGACTCGACCCCTGCAACCACAAATAGGCGAGTACAAATAGGTGAGTACACACACACACACACACACACACACACACACACACACACACACACACACACACACACACACACACACACACAGATGCACACTCACACTCTTACAATACAATACTTTACAATACAAATTTATTTCTTTTCTGTCATACAAAATGTAGTTTACATGTAAGAAAATATTATTAGACACAAAAGAAAGCCACTAACATGTGGTGCATTTAAGGCAGACTAATCATACGATATTTTTAATGGTTCATGAATGCTGATACGTACTCTAATAATTATCATGAAATATTACTGGAACATTTTGTTAACTCTCTTTTCTCTCGTGAACTCTATCCTATTTTAATTTCAGGATGAGATCCTTGGGGAGAGTGCTTCCTCCGAGGCTCGCATGTTGGTGTCGCTGGAGAAGCAGCATAAAGCTGTATCCTCACAGTTGGCTGAGGTGCAGGCTAGGCATGCCACTGAGGCTGCCAAGGTTGAAGAAGTGAAATCAAGATTGCAGGAAGTTGTTCGAGAGAGAAACAAAATAGAAACAAAAATTGCCGAATTGGGCGCTGTGGACACGAGTGAAAATAAACAGTAATTAATGAGTAGTTAAAATATAATAGTTTCTTTAATTAAAATGTGTGTGAATGTGTTAGTCAGGAGTGATTGGAAGCAAATTTCTTTTAGGTCTTGACTGCTGTTGGAGTGCGAGCAACATAACATTTGTGAATTGATTCAGGGAAACTGGTTAGCCGGACTTGAGTCCTGGAGGTGGTAAGTACAGTGCCTGCACTCTGAAGGATGGGTGAGGATACCTGGAGTTTGGAGGGGTATCTGAACTGTAGTATCTATGTGCCTCTGGCATGACAGTGATAGTGTGAATGATGGTGAATGTGTTTCTTCTTTTTCGAGTTGCCCTGCCTAGCCATGCTAGGTGTTCTAGTGGCACCCTCTGTAATTAGTATTTTACTACATGTAAACCACACAATAACCAAATTCTGTAAACTCAGCATTGTAATCCTTATAGAGAATAAACTTTGAATTGAATGGGAGATGGATGGTGTATTAAAAGAGAAAATATGCAATACAATAAATCCTCCATTCAGTGGACTTCAGAAATGTGGAACAAAATCAGCTGAGTCAATAGATTTGGAAACTGTGGACAAAATCTTTGGTCACATAATTGTTCATTATTGTTACAAACGGTGTATAGCCCTTGTGGCTTAGCGCTTCTTTTTGATTATAATAATAATAATAATAATAATAATGTTACAATCACAGCAAAATAATACTTTTTTCTAGCCACCACAGTTGCTGTTACTTGGCTATCCACTCCTCCCCAATTAGTCCATTAAATAGAGAGTTTACTAAATTGCCAAAAAGTCCACCCAATAAACACCTCTTAAGTTTGTTATATATGACCTCCGGTACTGTCCAGCTAACTGGTTTCTCTGCATTTATGATTAATATTTATACAGCATGTTTTGTAGCTTAAATTATCAAGCACTAAAAATATACTTTTTTGATCTACAGACTTCTGAAACGATTGTCACAGCTAGTTGAAGAGAATGAAAAAGCCAAGAAGAAAGAGGCTGAATTTAAGGATAGCTGCCGTAAGGAGTCTGAGAAGATGAAGAAAGAGATCAGGTATAATTGTTTTGGGGCTTTCTTGAGGGCAATAGAATCAAGAATTTTTCAACACATTTTGCTTAGGTTGTCTGCAAGGTAGTAGCTGCCCTACATGAAACATACAGCTCCCTCTTTATTTCTTCCTTCATTAATATCTCCAAGCAAATTTTTCAGTGTATGCTTACATTTGTTATGTTTCCTTGGCTATTTGCTACGGTATTAAACCAGTCGCATAGATAATTACAGTAACATAAATATGCAAGTGCTCCTCAACATACAATATTTCGACTTTACGATGGTACAAAAGCAATTACTTTGGAGATGGAACTTTAGATAATTGCCCAGCATCAAAGCAGCAAGTCAATAACTTTTTTTTTTTTTTTTTTTTTTTTTTTTTTTTTTTTTTTTTTTCCAACAAGTCGGCCGTCTCCCACCGAGGCAGGGTGACCCCCAAAAAAAAAAGAAAGAAAATCCCCAAAAAGAAAATACTTTCATCATCATTCAACACTTTCACCACACTCGCACATTATCACTGTTTTTGCAGAGGTGCTCAGAATACAACAGTTTAGAAGCATAGACACACAAAGATACACAACATATCCCTCCAAACTGCCAATATCCCAAACCCCTCCTTTAAAGTGCAGACATTGTACTTCCCATTTCCAGGACTCAAGTCCGACTATATTCATTTATTCACTTTTCAGTACTAGTATTTACTTAGTTACAATAATTATTTGTGTATTTACTCATTCAATGACACTAGTTATACATTTAGCATATAGTATTCATATTAGACTCGAGGCATTTTCGACTGGTTTCAGTGGGTTCGTAGGAACATGACCCCCATTGTAAGTCAAGGAGCACCTGTGATGGTAAAAGATTACAGGGAATAAATTACCTGCCAGTCACAAGGTAGAAATGTGCTGTGGCTGAATGACAACCAGAGGAAGGCTAGTGGCAAACACACTAGATATCAAAATTAAACTATAATATCACCATAGCAAATTACAGGTTAGATAATGCTGTACAAGGATCGATCACCGGTCATGTTTAAATCTGGCTTAAAACATTGTTAATGCATAGAGGTGGGCCACACTTATACAGCAAGCTAGTAGTTTTCGGGCTGTTGCTGTAAAGTGAAACGTACCATTTTTTCATTTTCAAATGCATATAAAGCCTGATAACATAAATACACTTACATAACTGGTCGCATTGGGAGGTGATCGTTAAGCAAGGGTCAACTGTATATCTGTTTAGTTTCAAGGATCGTCACCCCTGCTTTACGACCTCAGACTAAGCCTCCCAAACTGGATTGTTTACATTAGCATAAACATTGTAAGAATAATCAAGTAGCTCTAATTTCTACTTTTTGCCATTTTTGTGTAGTTTAATGTTTTAAAACTTTTTCAGTAACCTGCAGACACAGCTCAGAGATAAAGATGTTGCAGATGAACTCACAGAGCGCCACATAGCTGAGAAAGAGAAGTTTGCAAAGATGAGACGTCAGTTGGCTAAGAAGACGCGGCAAGTTGAAGCGCTGAAGAGGTACATTGACGATGTGCCGGGCAGAGCCGAGCTCTCGCAATATCAGCGAAGATTTATAGAACTGTACAACCAAGGTGTGTATTATTATTTACCATGAATTAATGTAAGTTATATTTGAAATGTACAGCATTTCATTAACATATAGACTATTCATTAATATTCATACTATTCATTAACCATTGCAGGGTCGAGAGGCCCTCTTCTAAACTCGTTCTCAGGATCAAGAGGCCCTCTCCTAAACTCGTTCTCAGGGTCGAAAATTTTTCAGAAAAAAAAAATTATTTTTTCTTATAAAATGATAAAGAATCTTTTCCTGATCATAATGACACCAAAAGTATGAAATTTGATGGAAAACTTAGGGGATTATGCTCTCGCGAAGTTAGCAGTCTCGACGATGTTTATGCATCGGCAATTTCGGCCACTTTGAGCCCTATTTTCAGCCAATTTCGGTGTACTAGTCGACAAAAATCATATCTATTTCACTAGAACGCCATATTTTCTATCGAATGAGTACAAGAAACCACCCATTTACCAATTTCAAGTATAAAGTAAAGTGGTCAGAAATTGGCAATTTTGCCATTTTTACACAAATTTCAGAAGATGCCAATTTCCAAATAGGGTCCAGAATAAGCAAGACAGACATTCCTGGCACTAAAATAACATTTTCTCTGTTCATTAGTCATGTCCCCAGGCCCCTCTTACATCTCTTTTGCTTTCCACTTTGAATTTTTATTCTCACAAAAAATGGAAGAATTACTGTTATGCAGACTACTGCATTAGTGTAGAAATGGTATAAATAATATCAGTGCACTTGTGAAAGAATATTAGACTCGCCAGTTGACGTGTATTGGATGCTTGGCATGATTTGTTTACTTTTGAAATTTAGTAAAAATTGAACATTTCTGCTACTTTGAGCTCAATTTCAAGGTACTTTTCATTATGAAACAGTCAAAATCATCTCAATTTCTGTAATATGTCTTCCATTCTATAAAATGAGACCAGGAAAACTAGAATACAACCATAAATACCATACGAAAATACACTGCAAAGTCGCTGTTTTAAACCAAAAACATGGTGGGAGTTTTTTTTCTCATTATGCACTGTGTGCTGCAGGATTTTTTTTATACTGTGCACACTGACCACATAGACCCATTCTTTCATATGTAGGTCTAGTAGCTTTCACTAGATTTGAAGGCGCTAGAATTTAGGTGTTCTAGTACGTCACTAACCCTGGTGCGTAAGACGTACTTATAAGTCGGAAACCCTGAAAGGGTTAATATTCAGACTATTCACTAAAAGATAGACTATTCATTAAACAGAAAGGTTCATCTGGTCTAAATATTGTCCATAGCCATTTACAATTATTTTAATTCTTAGGCTTAAAAAAATATTTGCTATATTGTTGCCATGAAAGTTATGTATAGTCAAGGAAACTTCAGATATTTGTATGTCAGATATTATTATGCCATAAGATTTGTGAGTCAGCTTGATGGCAGAAATGTTATCGAACACACTACCTGCAAATCTTGAGGAAATTTACCCGAAGGTCAAGAGAGAGTTAAGGCAGTTCTTCATTATATTACTTTGTGTTGCAGTTGCTGCTACCCACAGAAAGTTACAGCAATTCTATATTTCATTATTTTGTGTTGCAGTTGCTGCTACCCACAGAGAGACACAGCAGTTCTATAACATGCACAACACATTAGCAGACACACGGTCATATATGGATAAGGAACTCTCCCTCCTCAATTCTATACTTGATAATATGGCTATGTAAGTACTTCTTATTCTGTAAATTAGCTAAAAGTAATACATATCATTTTGATTTTAAATGTGCATTGTTTGAATTGGGTTTTACTAAATGAAATTGGCCCCTGTCACTCATCACAATTATACCAGAATTTTTTTTGAATTGCTCAAAAGAGTTCCATCTAATGTTTTACTGCTTAAGGGCTCTTAATTCATTCTGTAATTAATTAATTATTAATTTGATTATGCATTTAATTTCTTCAGATTTCATGCCTTAAAATGTACTACAAACATTAGCAGTTTGAGAAAATGTTGCCAATTACTGTTTTGCTTTTATGGTATAGGAGAAATTGATAATAACTCTGAGAATAAATTAGTAGTTTGGTTTCAAGATATGGGAAGCCTTGATACTGACCAGTTTGCTATTTGTGTCCTTGAATACATGCCTGAATATATGTACAGTGGAACCTCAAAAATCGAACTGCTCCCAACACTACCAATTATGTAAGTGTATTTTTGTAAGTGCTTTTATAAGTGTATTTTTGAGGGTCTGAAATGGACTAATCTAATTTACATTATTCCTGATGGGAATAAATTCATTCGGTAAAGGCACTCGAACAGCCTTCTGGACCGAAGAAAGTTCGATATTTGAGGTTCCACTGTATGTAGTAGAAATTGTGCCTGGTGTAGCTAGATTTTTAACCCTAAGTCTAATCTGTCTAAGATCTGCAGTAGGTACTCTGTATAAGTTTAAGAATTTGATGTCATCTGGGTGGCTTGGAATATCATTTCTGGCCTCTAGTCCATACAGTTCTTAGACATCATGACACCAACATGAAATGTCTGATAGTTTTAGCTAGACCTCGCCCTTCCTCACCACTCTCAAGGTTGAGTTTCATGATCCAAGAAACTGGATTTAACCCTTTCAGGGTCCAAGGCCCAAATCTGGAGTCACGCACCAGTGTCCAAGAATTTAAAAAAAAAAAAATTGTTATTTTTTCTTATGAAATCGTAGAGAATCTTTTTGTGAAGGTAATAAAACAAAAAGTATGAAATTTGGTGGAAAATTGACGAAATTATGCTCTCGCGAATTTTGATGTGTCAGCGATATTTACAAATCGGCGATTTTGCCGACTTTGACTCCCATTTTAGGCCAATTACATTATTCCAATCAACCAAATTCTTAGCTATTTCACTAGTATTACTTCTATTCTATCGATTGAGCACAAGAAATCGCCAAATCAACTGTTTCAACTACAAAATAAAGTGATCGGAAATTGTTAATTTGGCCAATTTAACACAAAGTTCAAAATATTCCAATTTCAAAATAGGGTCCAGAATGAACAATGTAGGCATTCCTGGCACTAAACTAACATTTCCTCTGTTCATTAGTTATGTTTTGAGGCTTTACAAATAAATTCCATTTGATTTTTTATTCACATAATGAATTTTTATTCACACCAAAAAATAGAAGATTTACTGTTATGCAATACTGTAATAATTGTATAAATATCATCACCATATTTGTGAATGTATATTAGACCCACCAGCTGGTGTGTATTAGACGTGTGAGATCGTTTGTTTACTCTTGAATATCGGCAAAAAATTTAACATTTCTGCTACTTTGAGCTCAGTTTCAAGCCATTTCCAGTGCTAAAACCAATCAAAATCATCTCTATTTCTGTAATATGTCTTCCATTCTATCAAATGAGACCAAGAAATCGCAAATACAACTATAAAAAACATACGAAAAAACACTGCAAAGTTGCTGTTTTAATCGAAAAATCATGATTTCATTTTTTTTCTCTCATTATACACAGTGTGCTGCAGGATCTGTTTTATGTGGTGCACACATACCACATAGATGTATTCTCTCATATCTAGGCCCAAATGTACCACTCACAGTTTATCAGAGTGAGCTGAGCTCATGGCGTAGATCTACGGTTTGGACCCTGAACGTAAAGCCGTAGATCTACGGGACGGACCCTGAAAGGGTTAACCAGATTGCCTTCTGTTCTCACAGCACTATATGATCCCTATGGGTTTAGCACTTTTCTTGTATTAAAATAGAAATTTAACTAATCACAAGAAACACAAAGATTCTGCTGTCAGATGGTTGGCATTCTGGATGGGCCAATTACTGGAGTTGCCCTTTGAGAATAGTTCGTGTTTGAGTCTAACCATGGCCTAATTGTTTACATAGTGCTTCATTTTGGTAGTTAATGGGTCACCTATGCTGGTGAGGGGCTTTTGATCTAGGGAATTAGATCTGTGCTCCGATTCCCCGAATTAATCCTGAATGCCTATCCCCCCATCCCACAAGTGCTGTATAATCCCTATGGATTTAGCTCTTCCCATGATGATAATAATAATAGGTCGCTTACCTATGTGTAGCTTTTACAGTCCTGTAGAAAATTGTAATGTTCAGGTTGTGCTCAGGGAATATAGATGTTTTTTCTGGTTATTACTGTCCAGATTTAAAGGAGTATAACTGACTCACGATATCGTAATAACACGATTGCAAACAAACCATGGTACGGGTGGGGTTAGAACTTGTGGCAGTTGAGTTTTACGACTTTTGCCACGACTTCTAACCCCATCTCTACTATGGTTTTTAAAGGGGTATAATCATTAGGTTACTCCATGGAAAAGTGGAGAGGAATCCTTTCTCCTTAAGTCGTGCATTTCGTAAGAAGCAACTGAAATGCCGGGAGCAAGGAGCTAGTGACCTCTTCTCCTGCATAAACTACTAAAATAAAGAAAAATTTTTGTTTTTCTTTTAAGTCGCCTTGCCTTGGTGGGATACGGCTGGTGCATTAAAAAAGAAATTAGGTTAATTACTGTAGGTATCTGTGTGGGTAAGGATGTTGCAATTCAGTGTCATTTGATTTGTGATGACAGTGAATATTTGGCAAGACAGCTATTGAATGAATGATAGGGTCACCCTACCTTGGTGGAAGACTGATGGTGTTAAAAAAAAAAAATTGCTTGAATCTCCAGTTGCAATAAATTGTAACACTGTATCTATTCCCCAGGGCTCTGGGAAACACAGCCAACATGGATGAGTACCTCCAGCAGTTGGATACTATAGTGGAAGGTATTAGACAAAACAAACAAAAGGTATGTTAGATTAATTTTCTGTATAAAAGTATTGTACAGTATTTATTGAAGGTAGGTTCTTTACATAGTGCTGTACTGTTTTTGTATTTGTGCGAGATACTGACTTGTACAGTGGACCCCCGCATAACGATCACCTCCGAATGCGAACAATATGTAAGTGTATTTATGTAAGTGCGTTTGTACGTGTATGTTTGAGGGTCTGAAATGGACTAATCTACTTCACAATATTCCTTATGGGAACAAATTCGGTCAGTACTGGCACCTGAACATACTTCTGGAGTGAAAAAATATCGTTAACCGGGGGTCCACTGTATATACGTATCAAAATTGGAATGAGCTACCTGTCTGAATTTCATATTTGTCAACATTTACAGTGTTAAAGTAGAACCATAAAATAGAATTTTGTATTATAAATACTGTGTAAATATGACGGTTGCTTCTATAATAATAATATAATCAAAACTAAGTGCTAAACCCACCAGGGTCATACAGCACTGCTCTTGCCTCTATAATCTTGAAAATAACTTTCCCCATTTGTGTTATAAGAGGCAACTAAAATGACAGGAGCAAGGGGTTAGTAACCCCTTCTCCTGTATATATTACTAAGTTTAAGAGGAGAACTTTCGTTTCTCCTTTTGAGCCACCCTTCCTCGGCGGGATACAGCCGGGTTGTTGGAAGATGATTTGTTTCTCATACAAGGTTAATCCTTACAATGAATTGTTGCAAGCAGCATAATGCATACATTATTATTGCAAAGACAGTCTAGTACCACACTTGTCATAATGCTTGCGGTTGAGTAAGCCGAGGCATACCATCCAAAGTGTCAGAAACTTGCTTGACAGATAAGATGTAATTTTCCAAAGAAAAGTTAGAATGATAATATAATTAAATTAGCACTAAATCCAAAATTTAAGACATCCATCAGCAGGAAATACATAAGTTATTATGAAGTGTATATATATTTTTTCTAATACAATAAAGAATTTCTCTAATAAGTGTAAAAAAGGCAGCCTTATTTATGTTGAAACAGAAATGACAAAGAAAAATACTGAAAACTTGTTCAGTGTAGAAGATACTGTTCTGTGTTAACTACATGCCTTTACCCATAAATTTTTGGTAAACAACATTGTCTTTATTGTATGTGGTGTGTTGGTGTTTGCTCTGAGACTTGGAACCTCAGTGGATGTATGGGGCTGTCCATAGGACTCGTGGTGGGTGGCCTCGTGTGTCCTTAGGCAGCATCCAGGGGCACTTGTCACCTGTCTGTTTCAGGAGGTGGTGGTCAAAGTACCCTAGACCATATAGCATGTTGAATAATTTCTTTTATTTACAGCTCGAGCAAAGACGTGCAGAGGAGAGAGCTCACCGCAATACCCTTAGCGACGAGCTGAGTCGCTTGCAGGAACTAAACCGCCAGTATGCTAAAATTGTGCACTTGCTTGGTCAGGAAATTAATAAGAATGAGATTCTGCATCAGAAAGTTGCTGCACGTGGCTCTTAGTAAGTTTTTTCTTTTTTAACCTGCATGAATTTTGAAAATCTTGAAATTTTACTTACTATAATTAGACTGTTAAATATGAGCATATTCTTTAATATTGTCTGTAATAAGATATTTGTGAAAATTATCTAGTTAATAGCCTCTTTGATGGAAAATGGTAGTTAATAATGGAAATGCTAAATATATTACTTATTAATGACGGTAATTGTTGAAACTATTATTGTTCAAGATAAAATGCACATTTTTGTGTTTGTAAGCATTTATACAAAGATATTCTAGCCAAAACATATGAAATTAAAAAAAATTATCTAGTGTAAAGGTGCCTATATTTTTATATAGAAATTGTGTACCAGAGATATGACCTTGATGGTAGATAACATCTACAAATCATTTCACAAAGTTGATAAAAATATGCCGATTATGTTAGCAAAGTATTTTCTAAACAGATGATAACATGTTTAAGATTTTGTTGGGTATGGATTGGACTGGTGTGTAATACATGTACTTATGCTTAGGATGATGGAGGTGCTGCACGATAAGCATGGGCCTAGCACTTCACATACCATATTTTGCGGCTTATTAGATGCTTTTTTTTTCCATAAAATGTCTCCAAAAACCACCCTGCATCCTCTAAACTGGAGGTCAGTGATGGGAGCTAAGTATGGCGTGTGGGGTGGGCTGTAGCTCTTCCAGTTACGTCCGATGCTGAGCCATTGAAACTAAAACATCTAATGCATCAGAGCATCTTATAAGCCACAAAATACTGCACTTTAGGCAAGTTATTATGCCATATGTTACAGGCTTCAGTATATCCATATTTTATGTACATTACATTTTTTTAAGTAATTTTATTGTAACGCCCAAGGGCCAAGAGTCTACTCTTGTCTGAATCATTCATATACAGTATGTCATTGTTAGTGTCAACCAAACATTTCAGCTACAATATCACTATATCCTCTTCTGCATCATCAGGTCTTAAGGGCAGTGAACTTTGACAAAGCTTTGAAGTTTTTACTCTGTTGTGGTCACCAGTTAATTTAAAGGTCAGTGACTATCTTCACTTGCAGCTCTTGTGCCTTGTACTAACAGAGATGGCTTGAATCAGAATCTTGTCTGCTTTGTACTCAGTGGGTTAAACTCTGACTTCCCCTGATGCTGCCTCATAAACTTTTAGACAAATTTTATATTTCAGTATCATATGAAGGGAGTTTTGTTCAAGCATACAATAACCCTTAACCTTTTGTACTATTAACTTTGTAAACCCTAAGTTGCTTATTGCTATTTAGAATGCAAGGTCATTGTACAACCTGTCTTGTAATAGTTTAACTAACACCTTTAAAAACTGTATTAATAGGGAAAATGTAAAACAAAAGGTGTTTAACCTGTCTTGTCATGCAACACTGGTATAGAAAAATGTTCGGACATGATGTATTATGGATACCTGTAGTATTGGAGTGGAGTTATGTTCTCAATTAAGGTCACTAAAAGATGGTACCTGACACAAAATAATTCCATTTTCAGCCACAAAAGGCAAGGATAAAGTTTGTTGAATAAGACAAGTGCAACACCTGGGCATCTTTATTTGACAGATTTCATCAACCAATGGATTTCAATTGGTAAGACATCTCGATAAATAATAATCAACTCGACTGCTAAACCAGTATGGGTGACTGAGCTGTTCATCAGTAGAGACCTGGGTGTTGTGTACATCTTGTACATCAACTTGTCAGTATACTATTAATGAAATGATAATACTTGGCATTGAGGTTTGTTTTTACAGTAAAACAACTTTTGTATTAAATTGATTTTAATAGTAAAGGGATGTAGATAGATGGTTCAGAGAACTGACAAGTTGATGAATTAGACATGTGTAACACTTGGGTATCTTTATTGAGGAAATGTTTTGCCACACAGTGATTTCATCAGTCCTAATCAAAGAAGAATGATGAAGATTGGGAGTTTGAGGTAATCAGTCCCTCAGCCTGGAGTCAATGTAATCAGTTCATCAATGATTAATGGACTGATTACATAGACTCCAGGTGGAGGGACTGATTATCTCAAACTCCCAATCTTCAGCATTTTTCTTTTAGGACTGATGGAGCCACTGCATGGCAAAACCTTTCTTCAAAGATCCTAAAGTGTTGCACATGTTTACTTCATCAGCTAGTAAAGGTACAGTTGTGTGCACATTCATGCAATGTTATGGCATAATGTTGGTAGAATTGACAATATGTTAAGTGGTAATATAAACACATAAGCAGTATAATGTAATCCTTTATCAACAATATTTTGCCCATACAGTAGGCTTTATCAAGTCACAAACAGATCTACCTGGGTGAAAGGTATGTTAGTATTATAGGATGGAGTCAGGTAGAGAATGCTGCATGTGACAATCTTCTGAGTAGAGTGATAGTCTAGGACCTTGGGTAGCTTTAGAAAGAGATTGGACAAGTATAAGAGTCAACCTTCTGCAGTGTTCCTCCATTATGTTCTGTGGGGGATAGCGATGAAGTTTCTTGGCAAGGGGTTCAGCTATGTTATAGAAGCTGTTGTTTTGGTTGAAGTTGTTGGATATACAGATAAGTGATGATTCCAGGATTCTTCAGTATTGAGTGTTGTCTTCTCTGGTGATAAGTCTTGCATTTCTGTAGTTGATTAAATGGTTGTGTGAATTTCAGCGTTGAACACAGGCATTCCTTGAATCATCAGATCTGCCTGCATACTGGTTTTCTGAAATGTGTGTGTTTGGAGGTCTCTGGATGTTTTGCCCACAATTTGCTGCAGTCATTACAAGGGATTATGTATACCCCTGCAAAGGATTGAAGCTTGTCCTGTCTGTTACTGGTAATGACCTTGATGGTGGTGGATGTGGAGGTAGATACTTGAGATGAGGTATTGGAAAAGATGTTGGAAACATGTTTGGGAATGGAGTTGGTGGGGAGGACTATGTATCTCTTCTTGGCAGTGTCTTTTCTGGGTGTGTTAAAGATGTTACATGCCTGGCGTCTGCAGTCTTTAATGAAATGACTAGGAGAGTGAAGTTTAGAAAATACTTGTTCAATTAGAGAGCATTCTTCCTCAAGGAACTCATTGCTGCAGATTCTGAGTGCACGCAGGAAAAAGCCTATAATTACACCACGTATAGTTTTGGTGTCGTGGTGAAGAGTAGAAGTAGAGAAGATTGTGTTGGTTGGTGGGTTTTTGATAGACTTTGAAACGAAGTTCATGGTCAGCTTTGCAGAGAAGAACATCAAGGAAAGGAAGAGTGTTGTTGACTTCTAGTGTGAACTGGATTGAGGGCTTGGCCTGGTTGAGCTTGTGTTGGAGAGCTTGAACGTTGATGCGTCTGGGAGTTATGATGAGAATGTCATCAACATAATGGAGCCAGGTGACAGAAGAACAAACAATAGTGGAAAATCGCTCGGCTTCCAGATGTTCCATGTATAGGTTCGCCAGAATGGCACTAAGTGGCAAACCCATGGGAAATCCAAAAATTTACTGAAATATGTGATTTTTGAAAGGGAAACATGTAAAGCTAACACATAGTTCAACAAGGTCAATGAAATAGCTGGCTGGAATAGGAAGATAAAGTGAATCATCAGTTTTCCTGTGCAAGAGATCGAGGGCTTATGTAGTAGGTGCTTTGGTGAATAGGGATGTTATGTCAAGGCTAGAGAGTTTCTTATTTTTGATGCTGATGTTGCAAATGCAATTGAGATCACCCGAGTGTTTGAGATGTGCTGGACTGATTGTGCCCAAGAGTTTAGAGAAGTGTTTAGCGAGAATTCCTGAGAGTTTGGTGGGGAGCACTGCCTATTCCAGAGGATATGGGTCTCAATGGGATACCTGGCATGAGAGTTTTTGGCTGGCCATACATTCTGCCAAAAACTCACAACCCAGGTATCCCACTGAGGCACATATCCTCTGGAATAGGCAATGCTTCCCACCAAACTCTCAGGAATTCTTGCTAAACCTCTCTCTAAACTCTTGGGCACCATCAGTCCAGCGCATCACAAACACTCGGGTGATCTCAATCGCATTCCCAACATCAGCATCAGGAACAAGAAACTCTAGCCTTGACGTAACATCCCTATTCACCAAAGTACCTACTACACAAGCCATCGATCTCTTGTGCAAGAAAACTGACAATTCACTTGATCTTCCTATTCTAGCCAGCTATTTCATCGACCTTGCTGAACTGTGTTAGCTTTACGTGTTTCTCTTTCAAAAATCACCTATTTCAGCAGACTTTTGGACTACCCATGGGTTCGCCACTTAGTGCCATCCTGGCGAACCTATACATGGAAGCTGAGCGATTTTCCACTACTGTTTGCTCTTCTATCACCTGGCTCCATTATGTTGACGACATTCTCACCATAACTCCCAGATGCTTCAAAACTCGAGCTCAACCAGGTCAAGCCCTCAATCCAGTTTACACTAGAAGAAGTCGACAACACTCTTCCTTTCCTTGATGTTCTCTGCAAATCTGACCATGAAGTTGACTTTAAAATCTATTGAAAACCTATCAACCAACACGATCTTCTCCACTTCTACTCTCATTACAACACCAAAACTTAACGTGGTGTAATTATAGGCTTTTTCCTGCATGCGCTCAGAATCTGCAGCAATGAGCTCCTTGAGGAAGAATGCTCTCTAACTGAACAAGTATTTTCTAAACTTCACTATCCTAGTCATTTCATTAAGACTGCAGATGCCAGGCATATAACATCTTTAACACACCCAGAAAAAACACTGCCAAGAAGAGATACATAGTCCTCCCCACCAACTCCATTGCCAAACATGTTTCCAACACCTTTTCCAATCCCTCATTCCAAGTATCTACCTCCACATCCACCACCATCATGGACATTACCAGTAATAGACAGGACAAGCTTCAATCCTCTGCAGGGGTATACATAATCCCTTGTAATGACTACAGCAAATTATACGTGGGTGAAACATCCAGAGACCTCCAAACACGTATTTCAGAACAACAGTACACAGGCAGATCTGGCAATTCAAGGAATGCCTGTGTTCAACACCAAAATTCACACAACCATTTAATCAACTACAGAAACGCAAAACTTATCACCGGAGAAGACAACACTCAATACCAAAGAATCCTGGAATCTTCATTTATCTGTATATCCAACAACTTCAACCAAAACAATGGCTTCTATAACATAGCTGAACCCCTTGCCAAGAAACTTTATCCCACATAGAACATAAGAAGGTTGACTCATATACTTGTCCAATATCTTTTTAAAGCTACCCAAGGTCCTAGACTATCACTCTACTCAGAAGATTGTCACATGCAGCATTCTCCACCTGACTCCAACGTATAATACTCAGGTACCTTTCATCTAGGTAGATCTGTTTGTGACTTTATAAAGCCCACTGTGTGGGCAAAACGTCAATAAAGGAACACGTTATACTGCTTGTGTGTTTATATTTCCATTGTCAGTATTTTATACCATTTATTTCCCATATGTTAATAAAAGGACACAAGTGCAACTAATGTGACATTTTATTGTGGCAATGTTTTGCTCTCAAGAACTTTGTCAAGCCATCACAAGCAATACATGGACACAGGGTATATATAGGCCTAGAGTGAAGTGTAAGGCACAGTATAATCGAAATAGTAGTTGTAATACTAGTGGTAGTAAAAGTCGGCTTGCACACGAGTTAAAAAGGTTATTAGAAACTTATCGCTTGGGTAGTATTAAAAATGGGTTGAGTAATATTTTTGTTTGGGTTGGATTAGAGAAGGTATGTTTCAATTTACCCCTTCTTTTATGTACCCTGTTTCTGTATCAGCTGCAGACAACTATGCGATGCGCAGAGCTTTATTGTTTTGAAGGAAGATTTCTTGTGTTACTGCAGAGAGAGGAAGCTGCCTTTAGTTTTTGTTAGAAATAGCAAATAAGGCAGCTTCATCATCTCGAAGTATCTGCAAGATTCTTCTGTAAAACAAACCCTGCCTTCACATAGTTGCTGCTGCTGATACTAACAAGAACATAAAAGAAGGAGTAACACCTGAAAC